TAAAGTATATAAGTTAAAGTTTTTATAATAATAATTATTAACTATATTTATAATAAATATTCCGGACTAATATTAAACCTATTAATTACATTGTAAATAAAATAATCCAAACCAGTATAATATTCATCCTTATATATAAAGGTATTTATCTTTAGCTTTTCTAAGGTCCTCACTATAAGTCTAATCTCTTGCTCCGTGTTCACCACAATCTAGCCCAAGATTACTTTTTATCAACTTAACATATCACCACAATGACCACCCCACTTCAACTTCTCGAGACCTCAGAAGGTTTTTCGTTCTACCACCAAGGGGATGAGGAAGCTCGTTGGATCTTTGATGAGATCTTCACTCAGCGATGCTATGATACAGTAAAACTGCCTGAAAAGCCTGTAATCATCGATGCCGGCGCCAACATTGGGCTGTATACTCTTTTTGCTAAGAGGAACTACCCAGAAGCAAAAGTGCTGGCTTTCGAACCCGCTAGAGAAAGCGTCTCCATCTTTAACCAGAACATATCGCTACACAAACTATCAGGTGTAGAGCTCCACGAATGTGCTCTTGGATCTAAGAATGAAACCAAGATGTTAACCTTCTTCCCTAACACCCCTACCAACTCAACAATTGGCAGTGACGGAGGGAATGAATGGTTGGAGCTTATCGCCGACAAAGTCAGCAAGGAAGTAGCTGATAACATGAGAGAAAATGCACGACAAACGCCCGTCCCCGTTAGAAGACTTTCCGAATTCCTCAGAGATCGGGACGATATCACGAAGGTCGATCTGCTAAAGATCGATATCGAAGGGGGAGAGTTAGACGTTATCGAGGGACTTGATGCTGACCACTTGTTGTCAGTCAAGAATATCGTCATGGAACTGTGGAGTCCTGATGGGCAACTTGAAGTCACTGAGAAAGCCCTCGAGGCCAAAGGGTACACCGTCACAACTACTCTGGTTCCTTGGAAATCGGGACAAGCTGAGAAGATGAAAATGTATATGTTGACAGCACAACGGGTCTAATTGATGTCACTATAGTTGCTTCATAGGAGAATAGAATGAAGAGATCATTTAAAATACAGCTTTAAATAAACCTCAGCGGTGATTTCAGTTATATTACCGTCTTTAATCAATATACTTATGCTAAAAAATAAGCATTATATTGTGTTATTCTCATTACATGAGACCCTACTGGCTATACCTTGCGTATTGGCTACAGAGATACTTCACTTTTCAATACTTATAAAAGTATTAATGCCTAGATATATTAGTGGAGTACCTATAAATACTTGGGAATATTGTACCTTAGCCTTCGTAGCTACTGTAGGTAGAGTTCAGTACATCTTTGAATATAAATTAAAGTATATATAGTAAAGAATAACTATATTTATTACTTAATATAACTTTATTTCTATTTATTTAAATCTAAACAAACATTTCTCCTCTATCTACTAGCCCTTAAGCCTCTCTATAAAATGTTTTGCCTGACTGTGAATCTCTAGGAAGCTCTCCAAAGCTCTACTCAACTGAGAACTGGCAGATTTTGTTTGGCCGCACGACGAAGGATCCCTACTAATATCCAGGTCGACAGTGAGATACGAGATAGCTGAACTGAGTAGTAACGGCAGGGATGGGGGCGCCTGGATCAATTGACTTATAGAGTGGATGGAGTCAGACACTTACCTTGAAACAAGTAGAACTTGTGATGAGATTAGATAAGTCCGCCATTTTAGCGGCGGCCTCGCCGGCTGATTTATCATACGCCTCCGAAACTAGTTGCTCTTCCTCTGTTTGACAAGGCATTGCTTTGCTCGCTTTTGCCAATGCTATAATGGAACCGTACGTTACCATCAACGTCACGATCGCCATTGGTTCGTCATCCACATCCGTTGCATTGGTGGATAATAGGTCAATTTGCCTTTTTGTAGCTGATGCCAGCCACTCGTGCCTTTTCCAGAAAGACGAGCTTTCTTTTTCTAACGACGGTCCGCTTTTCGGTATATGCTTCTGAATAGTGCAGCGGCCAAAAAGAGCCATGCTTGTAACAAATTCGGCGAAACGCGATGTCGCGTCCAGTTTTGCGTACTTGAGTGCCTCGTCTGCGAAGCCCATCTTGACCTCATCTCCATTCTGAAAGTACCTTTCTGGACATGGAAGACGGACCGAGATCTGCTAAAGTAAGTATTTGATAGGGAAAAAGCGGTATGAAGATGTTCAAACCAACAATTTCGTCGTGAATGGCTGGTAGAGACTCTTCGCATGCACTCAAGAACCGGTCTAAGCAGAAAGCAACCCAAAAGGTCCTTCTCCTCTCCTCAATCGTTGGGAAGTTCGGACCAGTTGAAGTTGAATCATTTGACGAGTTCGAACTACCTGTAGACGGCGCCTGTTGGTCACTACAATGTAGCCGCGAGAGATACACCAAACGAAGTGCCTGCCGAGCTGTTGTTGATACTGGATAGATGTGAGGTGCTAAAAGCTCGTAATGTACGAGAAGGAGCCATGCCTGTATCTGCTCGATGCTGATAATGGTATCTGTCCAGGGCAAACCCAATTCGCTGGCTTCAAGATCCTCAGCCATCTGCCTCGCTTTAAGATACAGGTCTTCTCCACGAGAACGGAACTGGGATGACATGGACGCGGCAAGTGCCCTCATAGTCATTCTCAAACATTGGCGAGCTGGACTAGGGTCCTTTGACTTGGTCCATGACAGATATCGTCGCTTATGGACCATGGGAAACAGCGGGTGCACCCTGTCAAAATAGAGCTGATCCCTTCATTAATGTAACAGAACTCTTATGTCAGTTTCCAGAGTCTCTTCAATACAAAAACAAGCTCTTTGTATAGACTTTTAACTTACAAGTCAAACTGAATCAGTGGGGGTAAGTCGCTGGTGATTGATGGGTCATCTGGTGTTTGGGTGCGTTGTCGAGGTGCTGCTTCGATACCTTGCGAGACCTCGCTATAGTCCTGCCAGTTAGAGTCCAAATTAGGTTCTGAGATAATTTCTAGATGTTCAGTCCAGGATGACTGTGCCAGATCGAAGGGCATAGTCCATTCCATCTCTCCCATAGTAGTGGCTGATGCTGCCTCGGTCCCAGTGCTTAGGCTATGAGAATGAGAATAGGTGACATCTGCAACCTCGATTTCCGACTGGCTGGCTAATTGCTGCTCTAGCATGGCTGTGGTTTATCATGTTAGAAATTCAAGCCCATAGCGGATAAACAAATGGGGACTCCGACCGATTCGAGACTTCAACTCTCTTAGCTGTCCCTTTTTGGGCCCTCGTTTTGGCCTTTGTTCCACGAAGATACATTCAATTCCTGTTTCGAGACAACCTCCGCAGACTGGATGAACACGATCACATTTTGACTTTCGCCTTCGGCATTCTTCGCACGCAAGCCCAGCTTGTTGTCTAGAATTTGTATCCATGTTGACAATGTGTGTATACCTCGTTTAACCTCGGAAAGATAAGACTATTAATACATTTAGACTCGTAGGTTGAACCGAGGCTGATTGATAAAAACCTCTAGACCCTCGGCTGCCTTTGGAATTCTCGCCGTTCAACACGAAGTCTTATGCATAAGCTTAAACTTTGTCACGTATCCCTACTGTACACTATTCTCGTCATATGAGTACGGCAGTTTGTAACCGCGCGGCTAACTATCTAAGGAAGCATATTCACAGTCTGCGAGTCATTACGGGATGGGCCGCTTGGACCTATCTATCGCACTGCCGGCGCACCCGGGCCGAATACCAGATTCAAAAAAGTCAAATATAGGGAAAGTCGCTCAAACTTTTCTGATACGTGCGGAGTAAAGTATTTCGCAGTAGTTAAAGATACTCCGATGACCTACCGCGTCATTTGCCGCGTAATATTTGGCGAAACAGACAAAAATCCGGTTGACTAGTAGAAAAGGGACAGGCTTGTTACATCTCAACTACTGTATCAGGATCAACGTCCGTTCGCGAGTGCTGCACATCAACCTACTACTCCCAATAATATCTTAGCTCCTAACATATACTCTTCCAATCGTAAGTTCTGACGAATACTTTCCCTCCCCGTCGACGGACACTGCCGGTGGCGCCATATAATATGTCAACTGGCAAATCACCAGCTGTGGTAGACATGCCAAAGGTCGGTGAGGCCATACTGAAGCTCAATGATGGAAACAAGATGCCAATGGTAGGTTCTGACATCTTTCCCACGGCTGTTCCGCGCCTGAATTATTGTTAGCTGGGATACGGATTAGGCACGGTATTACACAAAAGATCCCGAGACGAAAAGAGCGAGGCGATTGTCATAACGACGAAACTCGCAATTGAACATGGGTTTCGCCATCTCGATTGTGCCGACCGTAAGTCAACATAGTAGGAGCTAGTTATGTCTCATTCACTTATCAACCACCCGATAGTGTACAATAACGAGAAAGAACTCGGGGACGCTGTGCGAGCTTCTCCGATCCCTCGGTCAGACCTTTTCATAGTTACAAAGCTATGCGGGACTGAAAAAAGGGACGTCAAGGCTGAGTTCGAGGGCTCTCTGAGCAGACTTGGTCTTGCTTACGTGGACCTTTATCTTGTGCATGCGCCTTACATGGCAGACAATGCAAAGGATCTGCAGCACGTGTGGTCTCAAATGGAAGAGATCAAACGGTCTGGAAGGGCTAAATCAATTGGGGTATCAAACTTTCTGCAAGAACACATCGAGGCTATCTTGGCGACGGCTGAAATTCCTCCTGCTGTCAACTCGATCGAGTACCATCCTTACCTCCAACGTGGTGCACTGATCGATTTCCTCAAGTCACGAAATATTGCAGTTTCAGCATACTCGACCCTCACGGCACTGACCGAGGAAGCCGCAGGACCAGTCAACAAGCTCTACACCCAATTAGCCCGTAAATACAACGTATCAGAGACAGATATAGCTTTGAGATGGTGTCTGGATCAGAACATAGCAGCTATCACTACCTCTCGCAAAGGGGATAGGCTGAAGGCTTTATCCAAGAATCTGCCCACATTCAAACTTACTAAAGGAGAGATCGACAGTATTTCGCTTGCTGGCCAGTCAAAGCACTATAGAAAGTTTCTTACAGACCGCTTTGCGCCAGAGGACCGGCAATAAGCTCGGCAGATACTTCCTAGGGCCGTGGCAACCGGCATGGATAGCAGGGTCTAGAGTCCAGACCATACTTAGCAATTTAAACTGTCGCAAGAAATGGAGCTGAAGTTGCCTCAAATGTTGTGTCGTCCACTCTATTGGCTACTTTTGCGAGACAGCCGGGTAACTACCGAGATACTTGCCCCAATTGAGTAACGTTTGCGAGACTGTCAGCGAAAAGGGACGCTAATTCGTAACGCTTTGTCTAGGCCCTGATCGGCAAGCCCGGGTTGGTATGTTGTGGCCGGTTTTTAGGTACATTACAGTCCGCAGGGATAGGAAATGTGCATTTCCGCGATTTTTTAGGTATATATTCCCACAACGGAATTAAATATACCAATAAGATTAGATAGGCTTAGTATATCTGTAGAGATAATACTAGAGTAATTAGTAAGGAATATAGCAGATTAGCTACTGGAAGAAGTACCGATTTTATATTTACTATCCCTGAGGGCTATAGCCTTCTAAAGTACCTTTCTTAAAAACCAAAGTTGTAACGGTTTTCACCCGGGATAATATACTGTAAAATACATAAGTCTCTTGGTAACCTTGCCTATTTAGGTAGCCTAAGCGGCCCTTACTAGCTTGGTATAGGGAAATAGTAGTCTTTAGGCCTAATTAGATTAGTGCCCAGAATGGCAGCTAAACGGAGCCTAATTTAGCAAAACGGTTATAATTATGCTACTTTGTACAAGATAACGGTAAAAATTAACAATACAATATACTAACCCGGGCTTGCCAATCATGGCCCTAGACTTCATCTTATGCTTTATCCCTGGCATCTTGACTCTTGAATAACCAACAATATTTGTTATGTTTAGCTGATATTACACAATCTCAGTATATCTGCTCTTGGCCACAATCTCGCTGGCCAACGCACCCAACGACTGGCTCTGCAAAATGCTAAAGATGGAAACATCGGCTGCGGCCTGAAGCGAGATCATATTTCGCAGCTCCACCGCAACCAGTGAGTCGACACCATAGTGCGATGGGTGTTTACTTGGTTCGATCTCTCCAATAGCTATGACGAAGATGGAGCTCAACTTGTGTGCAATCGCTTCAAAGACAATAGCTTCAGCATCAGCCCGCGAAGTCACCTCGGCGAGACTAGCAGCAAGTGAATGTTTTTCCATCCGTTCACCATCACTTGCTCGTTTTTCTCGAGGCTGACGATATTGCAGGGCGCTGAAACGTGCATCGCGGCCGAGTTGTGACTCTCCATCACGATTCCAGTGGGAACCAGGCCCTGTATTGAGCCCAGAGACGATTTGACGAGCAAAAGGGTGTAGAATGGCGGACTCTAATAACCCGATAAGTTGGTCTTCTCGCAGTAACATGTGGCCTGCTCTCTGCATGCGGGCTGCCACACCGGCCGTTTCAGCCACGTAACCTACTGTCTTTACGGCACAGAGATCCAGCGATACGGCAGGGAGACCGTTTGCAACACGCCATTGGGCTAGTGCATCCTGATATGACCCTCCTGCTGAGTAGTTGGCCTGACTGGCATAGCCGACGATGCCATTGATGGAGGATAGCATGATGAAGAAGTCGACGTTCTGGAATTTGGTATGCAGATTCCAGGACCCATGAACTTTGGGCAGAACAGCCGCCCTAAAGCTTTCGATTGTCATTTGTTCTAGAATGGAGTCCTGAAAAACGTTAGCAGTGATAAACACGTAATGAGAGCGACACCTACTTGAAGCACCATGGCAGCGTGGATAACACCTCGAATAGGCGCAAGTCCCTTCGCTGTACAAAGCTGTATCGCCCTCTCAAGATCATGGTCTTTGGAGATATCGCAGCTGATGCACTCAATTCTGCATCCTGTCTCGGCCAAGTCGCGTATAAAGACTGCATCATCTTCCTTTGTCCCAGCACTTCGCGACATGAGAATGATCTGTTTGGCTCCGATATTGACAAGCCAGCTCGCCAAACACCGCCCAATGCCTCCCAAGCCACCAACCAATAGATATGACGCATCTGGTGACAGCCTGATAGTCTGCGGGTAGGAGTGAACTTGAACCTTCTGGAGCGGATCTGTTGATACCACAATCTTGCCTGTGTGTTGTCCTGTCTGCATGAGACGGAATGCCTTGGTGATATCCGAGATTGGGTAACTAGTCAAGGGATCAACAGGCGCGATCACGTTGCGCTGTTTCAGGCGTGCAATCTCGGTAAGAATTCGACGCACATCGGGTCCTTTCCCTCTTGTCATTTGGAGTATGTCCAGTGATGAAAAAGATATATGGCGAATAAACGGCCGCATCTCTAAGAAACTGTTTTGCTCAAGGTCCCGTCTTCCGATCTCGACAAAGTGACCAAAGGGAGCTACAAGGCCAAAGCTCTCTTGTAACAAAGGACCCGCAAGAGAGTTCAGAACCAGATCAACACCGCGACCCCCGGTTATGTCACGGATGCCCGAGGCAAAAGATGCATCGCGGCTGTTGAAGATGTGGTGATCTGGAATTCCATACTTTTGTTGGATCAGCTTCTTCTTCTTAGGGGAGCCTACGGTGACATAGATATCGGCTCCGAGATGCTGCGCGAGCTGAATAGCTGCTTGGCCAACTCCACCCGCCGCGGCGTGAATCAGAACAGATTGACCTCGCTGGATATGAGCGACGTCGTACAAAGCAACGTACGCCGTGGTAAATACCATAGGCATAGATGCTGCTTCTTCAAAGGTAGTTCCCTCCGGCATAGAAACAGCGTTCCAATGTTCGGTCCGTACGCGGCTTGCAAAAGGCCCGCGGAGAAGGGCAAAAACATTTTCGCCTACAAAGTGCCCATGGAGAGCAGCCACAGCGCCGACTTTGGTTATGACGCCGGCACACTCAATACCCATGATCTTGTCTTCCAGTTGGCCCATGGAAACCATGACATCTCGGAAGTTCAGCCCATAAGCGCGAACCTCGATCTCGACAAGGGTTTCCAACATCTGACTCTCATCGGCAGTCGTGACCGCGTCATCGTGGATGAATGTCAAAGTGTCCAAGAGACCCGGGATGCCAACATGGAGGCGAACAGGGAGCTCCTGCTGGAAAAGCTCTGTTACAGCATGGACCGGTGGCCGATGATCTTGCTGTGGCATGACGAGTTCATTTCGAGCTGTGTCTTTGTAGTACCGCGGGACCATAATAGTCTCATTTCGTTCCGCGAACTCAAAGTCAGTCGCAGATCCGTCAAATGCGTTGCTATCATCCGTTTCTCTGAAGAAATGCCTGAGAACACGCGAGATGGCATTGTGCGCAGTAGATGACCATGTTGAGTGAGATGGATCCAAGTCTAAAGTTATGATTCGTCGGCCAACATACTCATTGCGCAAAGAACGAACGAACCCTGTAGCCAATGCTGAGCAAGGGTTATCACATTCGTTGGCGCCTCCAACTGTTATCCAGAGAAGACCATAGCAATTGGTGACCATGAGTTTCAGCCCTTCCAACGAAGTTGAGTTGAGGTCGAATAGCATATTCTCATCCATTTCGGCCAGAAAGACGCATATCTTGCCTCTGTAAGTGGAACCAGTAACATCCAGGGCATCCAGGAGTTGCACATCAAGGCAGTGATCTTTCCCTCCGATAGAATGTGCCAGAGATGCTATCCAATCTTCTGGAGGCACTGATTTGGACGTCGTAACCAGAACAATGTCCTCCAATCTGATCTCTGCCGAGGTATCTGCCGCCGCTTTCGCATGAGACATGATGGTGCTAAATGCATACTCAGAAGTGTCCTCGCTTTCGTTGACGGCCATATCAACCCCTGTGAAGCCGGCAGTCCTCAACGCATTATCCCAGGACGTGATACTGAGGGACGGACTATTCTGGCGGGTGGACTCTTGACTGAGCCACCAGCCAGGTAGGAGGCCGAAGATGAACTGGATATCGATCTGGTCCTGCGTTGTTTCAATAAGTAACAACGAGCCGCCGGGCTTCATAAGGCTTCGAACATTAGCCATTGTTTTGGAGATGGATTTCGTAGCATGGAGAACTTGGCATGCAATCACAACATCATAAGAACCAGGCGTGAAACCTTGCTCTGCAGGATCCTGCTCGATATCTAGCTTGTCGAATGCTAGTATATCGCTCCACCCCGAGAGATCCTCTCTAGCAGTCTCAAAGAAACCCATGGAGATATCCGTATAGTGGTATAATTCAGCTAGTGGGCCTCCAGAATCCCGAGATCCAAGTACTTCCAGAGCATGGCGAGTGGCACTGCCTGTACCAGCACCTATTTCAAGGATTCGAGCTCTGGGATTCTTGTGAACGATCTTGCGGAGGAGCTGAGACAGTTGGCTGAAGCAGCGTTTGAGGCCAGGTGATTCTTCGTAGTATCTCGAAAGAAGATTATTTTGAGCCATTAGTTCCAGTGGCGCCGACTTTCCTCGCAAGATATTGGCAAGATGAGGGCCGAGGCGACAAATCATTTCGCCTGCCACGCTATTCGTGATAGCTCGGCTAATAAGACCAAGTCGCAGTCCAGGGCTTAGAGATCTTAGGTCAATGGTCTCGTCTGTATTGTCAGATTCTGATTGCGGTGAGGCCAGCTCGACCTGGTCCTGCATCCAGCGGTAGAATTTGGCTAAGTGTCCAGTGAGAGTCGATACATCAGAGGGCGAAAGCTCAGCAAGTGCTTCATGAATATAGTAAAGACAAATTGGCCGTAGCTCTTTCGTGAAACTCTCCCCAGGGCCTGAATGTACAAGCTCCTTTTGGATCCTGTTGAGTGTCTCGGGGCCAGCGAGAGTCATATCAATATCCCATTCAACCCTACTACAAACCTCCTTCTCCCATGGCCGTTTGTTTCCATTACCCACGGCTTGTCCAAGGGACTGGAGAAGCAAGCCCTGTATCTCTAGGACAGGAGTTTGTGAACCTTGCTCATTACCCTGGGCATCAAAAACGCGAACATCGGCTTCAAAGCTCTGGGAATCGGCATCGTTGACTCTTGAGCAAGCCTCGAATTCGTGTCCTACATTGGAGCCGATATTGCTCGATATCCAAATGTGTCTAAACCTTCGAGGCACGCGGGGGCTCTCTTGGAAATAACCAGCCTTGGGAAGGGCTGTATAAGCCGCTTGAACGATGGAATCGAGAGTAGTTGGGTGTATGATAGTGTTGTTAGCAGAGGTGTCGGCAACAATTATGGTGGCCTTGGATCGTGGTTCGGTTTGGCACTGGAGGATGGTCTTGAAGTTTTGGAATGCTGGTCCATGCTCGATACCGACTGATCTGAAGGTCGCAAACACATCATCGGGTGCAATTCGACGTGCTGTGCTGGGAATCAAAGGAGATAGTGCTTTGAGTCCGCCTACCCCCGGCACCGACTCATTGGCAAACTCGACTTTAATAGACCCTTGGGCATGCAAGTTCCATCGGTTCTCGCCAGTCACAGAGAGGATTTCAAAATGATACCACCCTCTGAGGCCAATTTCTCTGTCATGCGCAGGACAGAGTTTCGTCTGAACCTCCAGGGGTTGGGTATCCGGCACTAGCAGGGCCCGAAGAATCTCGACGTCTCGCAGCCTGTAACCAGAAACTTGTCGAACATTTCCTAGCTTGTCTACAGATTTGATCACCTGCATAGAGACCATCTGTGTTATGCCTGCGAGAGCCAAGCAGATGAAACCTGCTCCGGGATAAAGGACATTGGATTGGACTACGTGGTCGCGAAGCCAAGGCGACTGGGACGCACGAAGGATATGGCGCCATGAAGGAGACTCTGGTTCTGCCCCTAGAACAAGCGAGCCGATAAGACTGTGCGGTTCCTGGTCTCTTTCTCGCAGCGCTCTATTGAAGCGTGGCTCAACCCAGTGTCTGGTCTGGTGGTTCCATGAGTAGGAGGGAAGATCTGTGAGCACCTTGACAAAGCTCTCTCTTCCGTATGGAAAGTTGAGAGAGTCTAATTGCAGGTCCAGGCCCTCGCCTATCAGATTTGCCGCCAGTGTCTGCATGGTATCTCTAGCATCATTCTTGCGAACTAAACAAGAGTAATACGGGATTCTGAGACCACTAAACTCCGGAAGCTCGAGGATTTGTCTGATAGGTCCTCGCAAGGCTGAATGTGGTCCAACCTCGACTACAACATCAACACTGGTGCCAGATGGGTCGAAGTCACCTAATAACATGTCGGTGAAGGCATCCAAGAACTTGACAGGCTGAACCAGGCTCGCCACCCAATGTTCAGCACTGGCAATTTCTTCAGGGTCCGTCATGCGACCGCCGGTGACTGGCGAAGAGTAGACGATGGACTCAAAGTTATGTGAAGGATTGAGGAGTTTTACCCGACCCAGGGCTTCCCCATACCTGTGCGAGATAGGTTCCATCTGATGCGAATGGTAGCCAATGTCGACATTGAGACGACTTGCTAATACGCCATCATTCTTAGCCCGAGTCTCGACCTCCAGGACGGCAGAAAGATCGCCTGCAATGGTGACACTTTTAGGACTGTTGATACAAGCGATGCTTGCTTTCCCATCGCTTTGTAGCTGTTCGAGGTAGGTCGCGGCGTGATCAGATCCCACTCCAACCGCAACCATGCCTCCCTTGACAGAACCTCTCAGAGCTTTGTCAGCCGATAAAACACTCCGATAGTGAGCGATAGCCATGGATGCCCGGTAATCAATAACCCCTGCGGCATACGCAGCTGCGATCTCTCCACTTGAGTGACTTGTCACCGCTGCTGGCTTGACACCCCAGCTCTGGAGTAAATTGACCAGTGATATCTGCAAGGCAGCACAGATGGGAATACTGACAGCAGTGTCAAAAACCTTTGTGCCAGTAGCATCCCTCATGAGCTCCTCCATCAGCGACCAGTCTGCACCAAGCTCTCTAAGGTATGCATCTCCAAGCTCAAGGGAGGATCTGAACACAGGATAGGCAATAATGAGCTCTCTCCCCATTGCGTACCATTGGGCCCCTTGCCCTGTAAACACCATTCCGATACGAGGAGTTCGTACGATTCTTTTGGGCTTGAACTGAGAGGATCCCAGAGACTCAACGACTGTAGACATGCCGCGCGTGTAGGAAATGGGACATGCTGCAACCCAAGGCATCATACTACGACGTTGGCCGAGAGTGTATATAAGCCTCTGCAGGAACTCATCAGGTAAGTCATGTTCCTTTTGGCGTTCGAGATAGTCTTTCAGGTTGGAGATCATATCCTGGCATGCTCGTTCATCTCTTGCACTGAGAACAAGGACCTTGGTTTTGTTCCGAACTGGATTGGTGTTGTTCCCATCACTTGTCGGCTTGGTACCACACTGTGATGCTGAGTCCATATGATAAGTGTAGCCATTGGTATGACTGGTTCCGTTGGTCGTGGGAGTCATAGGATCAGCTAACCATGGTGGTCCCATCTCAACAATGACATGGGCATTCGTACCACCGTAGCCAAAGTTGTTGATTGATGCGCGCCTTATTCCGTTAGAATTCGGGATCCAGGGCTCCAATTTCTGTGGTACTTCAAACTTCCACTCCTCCAAGTCGAGTTTTGCATTCGGTTTCTCAAAGTTAATGGACGGTGGAATCTCCCCCTTCTCGAGCGCCAGAATCACCTTGATGAGACTTGCGAGACCGCTGACTGGTTCCGTGTGTCCAATATTGGCCTTGATAGAGCCAACACGCAGAGGACATGTACTCTGACGCTTTGGCTGAAAGACTGCTGCAACTGCCTGAAGCTCAATTGGATCTCCTGTTGGCGTACCTGTTCCATGGGCCTCGAAGTATTGTGTTTCGAGTGGGTCAAGCAGGGCGCTCTGGTAACATTTGCGAATGAGTTGTTCCTGTGCATTTGAGCTCGGAGATGTGATAGTTTCTGTCCTGCCATCCTGATTGAGACAAGTCTCGCGTATCACTGCCCGGATAGGGTCTCCAGCAGCTACAGCATCTCGCCAGCGCTTGATGATAACGGTCGCTACACCCTCTCCTCGACCGTAACCATTGGCTCTTGAATCAAAAGAAAAGGACTTTCCATCAGGTGAGAGAACTCTGCCTTGTGTTAGTAGACGGCGGTTTTATGTGTAAAGCCTCAACGTACCCGATAGAACCGAGAGCCTTGAACATATCTGGGTTGAGCATCAGATTGGAGCTTCCAACGATTGCCATGGTCGAGTTGCCAGATCTTAAGTCACTGACAGCCTGGTTTAGTGCCACTAGAGACGTCGAGCAACCCGTATCCAAGGTCATGCTAGCCCCTCTCAAATCAAAGAAATGCGAGACACGGTTTGAGGCCATGGCGGCGCCTGTACCCGTAATCATAAAACGTGGTAAGTCATCTTCATCCCGTATCATGCTCTCCCTATAGTCGTGGTTAAACGTCCCCATATATACAGACGTGTCCGAGCCTGCTACCTTTTCGATAGGCTGCCCAGCTTGAGAGAAGTGTCAGGTTGCATGTTTCCCGACAAAGAGAGGCGTCTTACCATTCTCGAGTGCTTCATACACAGACTCCAGCTGAAGCCTAAACTGGGGGTCCATAGACTAGAATGACATGTTATCAGTATTTGCTCATATCTAGCTGATTTGTCGTATTGCTTACTGCTGCAGTTTCGGCCGACAAGCTGAAGAAGGCTGCATCGAAATTGCCAAGGTCCTCTTTAAGAAAGTACCCAGCACGTACGTGCATCTGAAAGGATTCACATTTAGCAGTTTCGTAGTTATGAGAATAAACAATTGGTACATACAGTGCTCGATTTTTCATGATCAGGATGGAATGAGCCCGCCCAGTTGAATCTGGACATGGGGATCTGAGACCAAGCATCTCGTCCATTGGCAATCATTTGCCATAATTTATCAGCATTTGTGGCTTCGCCAGCAAATTTGCAACTGAGGCCGATGATTGCGATCGGTTCCGGGGCACGACAATCTTCCATTTCGCTCTCCAAGTTCGACAAAGGTAGTGAATTGATTGGTTTGTTTGGAACGGTAATTTCTCATCTACAGTGTTATGGGTGCGATTCGCCCAGCCTAGTCTAGGTACGAGGATATATCTATGGCCCTTTGATTCATCTCACAGTGGAAGTCCGGCTTTCACAACGTGACGGACAATTAAATCAGTATAACTAGATAGAGAAGGTGATATGAATGTCCGGAGTATTCCAGATAATCTTACTTACACAAGGTTATTATTAATATATGCTAAAGTGTACTAAATAAAGTAATAAAGAGGATAAGTAAACTATTTAAAACTTAGTATTGAAATATTTAAGAAGATTTTAAGTTTAAATTTAATAAGTAATATTTATTTATATTTATTTATAGAAAAGATTAATTTAAATATTATAAAATTATTATTAA